TGTGTGAGGACGCGCTCTTGGTCGCTGAGTGCCAGAGCTGGGGAGCAGTTGCTGTGGTACCTGCTGCTGCTGGGGTTGACGCTGAGCATCGGGCACCGGGCACGGGTCGCTGTGCTATAGGACGGGAAGGTGACATGACGTCCTCCAGGTAACCAGAGCTCGGCCGCTACAGCTACGCCCGGGTTGGGCGTGAGCTTACTGATCCCGGGAGAACTATCGCCCCTTTCCTTGGATGGTCTGGAGCTACCCTTTTCCGCCGGTCCCCCTCACGCTTGATGTTCTCACACTTTATCAGGGCATTTCTGGTTTTCTCCGAAGTTTTTGTGTCTGTGGCACAAGGCACTGCCGTATTTGTCGCCGCTTGCTTGAGGTGACCCTTGCTCAGATTTCAGGGTCTGTGGCTTGTTTGCATGTTTTTAATAAATTTCTCATGAAAATGTAACTACCCCTCGACCCACCCCGGGATGATCCTGGTCCCAAGGGAATATGCCATGCACAGTGTGTGCCGTGTGTGCCCATGCCTGTGTGTCATGCCGTCTGATACAACTTCATAGTTGGCCATGAGCAGATCTGCAAAGTTGGCACTTCTCATGTAGATTGTTCCCAAGTTGTGAAATTGTGTGTCTAAAATATTTGCCTATGACTGGAATTAGTACTCTCGTTCTTGAAGGTACCATATGTTTACCTACTTTTATCGGAGCGTCACAAGTGAAATTAATTTCGTGTGATGTAGAAATATAGTGAAAACAGACTTACCCAATCACAGGTCCAGGATTTTGATTATTCCTTTTTTTCTTTTTTGGCAAATGGTGATAGCTAAGTTGCCTTACTCACTTTATTTAGCTTCTACTGAATGTTTATGTAAATTTGACTATTTAAAAAAAGATAACTTTCCTCATTTACCCAGTGTTTTGGAATGCCTTTTAAAAAGTAGATCTTGGTCTTTATTTTCCAAAGAAAGGGAGACCCCAGCTCAAATCTGTGAGCTTTAAAGCACTTAAGTCCTGGTAATTTAATGGATTTTTTTTTATGGTAATTTTGGTACTCAGTACCTAATCTTCAGGTAACATAGGATACAGCTTGGTTGCTGCCTTCTCTTAAATGCACAGTTTTGCAGTAAGATGGACAAAGAGATCATTATGTGGGAGAAAGTTAGGTGTGGCAATATGGAGACCTATACAGGCTTTTTGGTAAACAACACTGCAGCATATCAATATACCTAGTGGCATTTTAGGATGAAATAGGATATTGCAATACAGCAGCAATTAATCCCTACTCTTCATTCCTACTTTCCTTCCCATCATCAGGTTCATTAGGTGTGCTAGTCAAATGCTTTCTAAACAATCTTCTTTCTAAGTGATTTTTTGTTGTTGTTGTTGTTGTTGTTCTGGGAATTGAACTCAGGGCCTGGCACATGACGAGCACATCAATTGGTTGGCTTTAATTTTCCATTTTCTTCCTGTCCACTCCTCACTGGAGAAATGTCCAAATATGAAGTTTCTGTTGTTTAGCAGGTAGCAGCAAGATATGTCTATAACATAGGAATCCAGTTTTTTTCAAGACTGATGTAAAAGTTAACACCAGCCTTGAAAATATTTTGGAAAGGTGGATAAGTGATAGTGAAATTTTTGTCTGCTTCTTCAGGGTCTGTTTAAAGTTTTGAGCTACAGTGACATGGCTTGACAAGAAATCACTTTGTTGTAGGAATTAAATTGAAGAAAAGTTGAGTGCCTTGCCCAGAACTTGTTAGTAGTAAAGTTAGGAATTAGATCTTGATACCTTTGTAGAAACAGCACTCTATTTTTAATTTTCTGAAAAATTACGCAGATGTGAGACATCTGTAGGAATTCTTTTGCATTTCTCTTTCTGGTAACTTGGTTCAGACAAAGGCAGGGTGGATGTGGAAGGGAGGTGGCAGTTTTGAAAGTTCCCAGCGAAGACTGCAGCTAATTCAATTGTGGCATTTTTTTAGCTTTTATCAGCCACGGTGTTAGGCATGTTCCCTTTTATTGTTCAGTCTAGCAGTAAACCCAAAAGCTAGGTATTAAGATCCTTTTCTGGTGATACCAAGTATCAAAATCTGACCTCATGTCTTGTGTTCTTGCTTTTACCCCACTCTTAAAATAATTGTTGCTAAATATAGTAATGTGTGACTTTGAAATGGCTATCAAAGAATATAGGATTAGAAACTGGACACAACTTGAGTCTAATTGAGGCTCCTTTCTAATTCTTTTCTACCACGGGCTTTTGTTTAATGATATACCTCACTGTTGCGATATTAACCTGTGTCCTACAGTGTTAATGGGAAAATATACTTTTAAACTTTGTTTTGTTTTGGATATTTTGAGACAGGGTCTCACTGTGTAATCTAGGCTAGCTTAGAACTTGCTCTAATAATAGCCCAGGCTGGCCTCAAATTGAAACCCTCTTGCTTTTATCTCCTGAGTGCTGAGATGATAGGTGTGTGTCACTATTCCTTCAATGCTTTTACATTTTAAGATGTTTTATGAGTGAAATTTAGTTTTTGTCTTAAAAGCCTTAAAAACATTTCCCTAGGGAATGATGTCATCTGAAGAGAAAGGTATGTTTTAAACCTCACTTTATAGACAGGAACAAATGTAACTATGTAATTACCTCACTTTACAGTTGACGACACTAAAAATTAGGTAGTGTGATTTATTCACGTTCACATAAAGTGTTATGCGCCTTGAACTGGGTCCAGGACTTCTGTATCTCTCCCTCAAGCCTGTCTTAGTTGGTGAATGCCTCACTGAATGCCCTTTTTAGTGTAGCAGTCAACTCTTAAGACTTTCTCATTATTTTTTTAAAAATCTTTTTTTTAAGCTTAAGGTCTTGAACGATTTGACTGAAAGTAGCCTGATTTTCATAATTTATATTTTATTCACTGTTAGTGACGAAGAAGCTAAATTTATGGCTTACAAAACCGATTTATTACGTGTATCAGATTCTAACTGGTCTTCCTCTGGACTATGATAGAGCATATTTGATAAACTAATGCTTTTGTTACTCTTAATTGCTCCAATAGAAATGTTAAAGCCTTAATTAAGTTTAGGAGTCTTAGTATTTAAGTTTTTTTTTCTTTCTCTCTGTGAGAACTGCTTTAGCCAGGGTTAGAGTCTAAGTTAGAATGTAGACCTTTGACTACTGCTTTGTGTACGTTTTCCTAAATAATACTTTAAAAATTTCCGTGTAAACTTTGCTTTGCCTTCATAACCTCAGTGTACAGTCTGGTTTGGGGTTGTTCACAGCTCTCAAGTTGTGCCAGGGAACCAGGTTTGTGGGGCACATTGTAGGGGGCAGTGAGGGTATGAGCTGTGTAGTCTGTGTGGCCAGGCTAGGTTTGGCTGACACTATTTGGGGACTGTTTGGACTGAGTATAGCTGTGCCCTTGGCCATCTTCATTCTGGAACTGCTTCCTTGGTTAAGCCCACACTGGAAAGTTTATGTGGGCTGTGGGTGGGGTCCTAGGGTATTTTTCACTGTAAGATTCCAGAGTTTTGAGGTACATCCAACAGAATCATCCAAACCACTCAGACGGAGAGTATTATGAGGAGACCAGAGTAGGGCTAAGATGGATTTTTGTTGAGGTAGTTTCTTTCAAGCGTTTGGGCAGAGTTTTCAAATTCATTTTAGGACCTGTGTCCACCTTTCTTTCCTTCCTTCCTTCTTTCCTTCCTTCCTTCGTTCCTTCCTTCCTTCCTTCCTTCCTTCCTTCCTTCCTTCCTTCCTTCCTTCCTTCCTTCCATCCTTCCATCCTTCCATCCTTCCATCCTTCCATCTTTCGAAAGAATTTTAAAATTCAGATTGCTAAATAAACTGTTATGTCATAAGATTTATTGGTGGGTCAAGTACAATTCTAAGATACACTTAAACTACTTCATTCATGCACTGTCTTGAGGAAACTGAAACGGGAACCTCTTCCTCTGTTCAGTGTTGTCAGCTGCTAATGCTCGTTTTCATAAATAGGTCATCTCTGTTTGAGAAAACACACAAGGTTTTCTAACTCCAAATCCTTCCAGTCAGAGAACTGCTACATTAAGCAGAACTGTCAAAGATAAACTGGAACCAAATGATAGTTGACTGTCCAAATGTTAACCCTTTCCTGTGCATTTGACTTGCAGCTATGTCTTTATCTCTGGTTGTTACTTTTAAAAATTGCTGCACTAAAACATAAATGAAGCTGTCTTATAAGCCAGGTGACCACAAATTCCAGTTTGCACAGAACGGTACTGGATGGTGAATATTATCTTGACATAATTACTAGTAGTTTTTTATTTATTCTTGAAAGCGTTCCATTTGGATAGTAAATTATCTGGTCACTTCATGTATACAGGATAATCATATTGTAATAGCAGTTCCCAGTTGTTGAGATGTTGTTTGAAATAGGCCATAGATAATGACTGCACCCCCTTTTTACGATCTATATCTGGGTATTTTTCCTAGATCAAACATTTTTATATTAAAAGAGTTCTGAGTATCTCAGTGTAGCATATTGAACAAGATAACACATTATGTAAAGTTTAGAATCATTTATTTGCTATCTGATTTTTGGAAGGTTATGTAATCTTGCTGAACCTTTTCCTAGGAATTCTTTCCTAGTCTGTTAAACAGAGATAATAATAATGCCTTCCCTATTATTGTTGTTGTGGATTTCAAAAGGAGAAGGAGAAAGAGCCTACTCCTGCAAATTGTCCTCTGACCCCCACACAAGTAGAACACACAGAGAATAAATAAATAAATGTGCGAAACCAGTATTATATAGCTTAGAGGAACTTACTATTTAGTGGAGCATTTAGTGTTTCTTAGAACTGTTTTTCTGTCAGGAGAGCAGGGATATAATAGAGGAGTTGGAATGAAGATTTTGCAGGTCAGGCGTAGAAATAACCAACATCTTTGTGTGTTGAAAAGAATGTCCCAATAGGAAACAGAGCAAAGCAAAACAGATAATGTTGGTCAGAGATAAATTTTTCTAGAATATGCAACCGGAGATAAGAATTAGGATATAAATGGAAGGGTTGTATAGCCAAGGGACACATGTTACCCTTTTTAGTTTGTATTTTTTATGCCAAAATATATATACTGTAAAATTGTAGATCCTGCATTCACTGTTTTTTTTTCTCAGTGTGG